ATTATTATTATTATTATTATTATTATTATTATTATTATTATTATTATTATTATTATTATTATTATTATTTTTGCATAATTGAGTTATGTTCACACTTTCGGCGAACATGCATTATGACTTGTGAGGATCGTTTGAGCATCGGTAGTTTTTGATTAACCTGCTTTTTACCAAAATTTGCTCCATTTCGCATCTTACCCGTGGCAAATCTTATGCGCTTTGATCCTCAACTATTCCCCATAATTTAACAAGTGATATGATGTATTCAAGTTTCATAATCTTGAGTGGTGAATTCATAATTTCATATGGCTGCTTGGCAACAGAAATATTTACACAAAACCTGAATATTTGGGACATGAATGCATTGCATTTATATAACATTATATAGTTTTATATTACTACAGTCGTAAGTTAACATCCAAGGTAGGGGTGGCCACTCCACGGGCCGGGTCACGGCCCGCCGGGTCCACGGGTCGCAATTTCATGACCCTTGACCGGCCCGCATTTTCTAAGGGCCGCGGGTCCAAACCGGCCCTGAACCGCCGGATCACGGACCCGCCGGTTTTTGGCCGGTTCTGGGCCGGTGCGGCCCGCCAAAAAATACATTGTCGCCCGTCATTCAATCCGTCGACCCGGCCTGCCGGGACAAGAAAAAAAAATAGCGAACCTTAACCGAACCGCGACCCTACGGGTCCGGTTCAACGAATCGGCCCTTAGGAGGCCGGTTCAGGGCCGGTTCGGTCCGGGCCGGGACCGGTTCGCGGGTCGATTTCCGGGCCGGTTCGGCCCGTGGACATGTCTAATCCAAGGGAAAAATCATTACAACTAATTATTTTGATTAAATGACTATAAGTTTATATTCAATATAAACCTGTTAATGAAAAAAACCACTAACAATGACATTAATGACGTAAGAAATTGCCGATGACCTCTTGGCCTAGTGGTAAAGAGTGAGGTACCCTTGACATGAGGTCAAGGGTTCAAGCTCCCCGGAGCGCAATGGTGGAACAATTAATACTGAGGACTGCAAGCGGCAGTGTGGGAGGTTGAAACTCGGTGGGAACCAACGGCTGGATAGGTGGGACCAGCATGAAGTTGGGGGGCCAGCGAGCAATCACTTCGGTGGGAACCAGCGGCTGGATAAGTGGGGCCAACTTGAAACTGGGAGGGCCAACGAGCAATCACTTGGGGAGGGGATCGACTCCTTGTGCGCGGTAGTTGAGAGTATGAGGTTGGGAGCCATTGTGCCGCTACCGCGGTTTAACTGGAGGCAGTTTCTGAGGGGCCGAGAGCTGTTTCCTCGAGGACTAGTCAGGCGTAAGCCTGGAACATCGGTATCAAAAAAAAAAAAAAAACTAATAATATTGGTAAAATATTAATATCTGTAATTTTTTTTAATCATCTTACCTTATAATTATAAAATTCCTAATCTCACGCTGAGAACGAGGTAGTTTGAATGTGGATACTTGATTTTTGACTGTTATAATTAAGATAGCCCCAACAGAAAGGCCGCTTTATACCCAAAGTCTGCTTATTCTCATCTCATTTTACTGGGCTTTAGATGCCCATATAACCACAGCCCATATAACCACCCCTTAACTGTATCGTCACCAAGTTAGGTTTTCCAGCTCCTTAAGTGAAAAATCAAAGCAGCCGCTAACCGAAGAACACAACACTCTCGACACACATTAGAAGCTCCAACCATGGTATCGATATCACTTGCAAAGTTGAATTTATATAAGTCTCCGTCATTTTATTACTGTCACGATCGCATATAGCAATGTTTGTTCTGAACAAATGTTTTTTTTTTTTTTTTTGTACCAGTCGCTGGTAGCAAATGAGGATTTCCAGCACATTCTGCGTGTGCAGAACACTAACGTGGACGGGAAGCAGAAGATCATGTTCGCGCTGACCTCCATCAAGGGTATCGGCCGCAGGTTTGCCAATATCGTTTGCAAGAAGGCTGATATTGACATGAACAAGAGGTAGGCTGGTGCTTTTGGAGCTTGCTTTTTTAATTTTGCTTCTTTTTTCAGATCCAACAGGCATTTGTAGTAGTTCGTTTGCTGGATTATGCTGTTACCTTATGTTACTTTTCATTTTGTGCCCTGTGGCATGTTGAATATCTTTGGTTATTAACTTTCGATATTCCTCAGTAGCTAGAATGAGTTAGTGTATGAATTGACGTGCTCCAATGATTTTTTTTATCTGTCGTGGGATTTTTTTTGGTGCTCTGGATGATGAAGCTGTAGGAAATTAATCTATTTAGGTATAATGTTTGTCTCCCAATTATTTTTTTTTAATGAAACTTAGGGATTTATGTTTCAACAGATGTTATTTTTACAACATTGAAAGTTTGTGAACTGTCTCAGTTGATTGAGTTTTCCATTTACCTAAGTATCTTGAGCTCGAATTTGTTCCTGTATTGTTGCTTTATCTCGATTAAAGTGTGTGTTTCCTCCTTGCCAATTTGTTTTTGGGGCATCAGATACTTTTGTAGTAGAATCGAGTAATGTATCTTTTCAATTAAGATATTTTGTTTCATGGTCTATTATCTCCTTTATGGTTGCTCTCAACTGTGCACAAGTACATTAGTAGAGTACAAGAAAAGATGAACAAGTGATCGATTGTTCCCTGCCTATATCCTAGTTTTAACATTTGAATGCTGCCAATTAGAGTCTAAAATTTAATTACTTTATTTTTCTTTTCAAATATGGTGATATCTTTATAATTTCTCTCTCTCTCTCTCGCTTGGGTGATACTAATCCAAAATGATCATACTCTGTAGAGCTGGTGAACTCTCCAATGCTGAAATTGATAGCCTTATGGTGATTGTTGCAAATCCTCGTCAATTCAAGATCCCAGATTGGTTTCTTAATAGGAAGAAAGATTACAAGGATGGGAAATTTTCACAGGTGACATCTAATGCCTTGGATATGAAGCTTAGGGATGATCTTGAGCGCCTTAAGAAAATCAGGTTCGATCGTGTATCATGTCAAACATACTTAACTGATTTCTAATGTCGTAAAATGATTGTTTTTTCGGTTTTGTGTTATAACCTTAGGAACCACCGTGGGCTCCGCCACTATTGGGGTCTTCGTGTTCGTGGACAGCACACAAAGACCACCGGACGCAGGGGAAAGACTGTTGGTGTTTCCAAAAAACGTTGAACCGCTTTTTTTGTTATTGTTTCCCCTTTTGTTTTTCTATATATGCATTAAGAGAGGATGATTTTGATTTGATTTAGTATACACTTCACTTTGAAGTTTTTTGGATAATCCTAAGCTATTCGACTTATGGACTTTGTCACTTGTGGGCTGTTTCTGTATCTGCATTCAGATGTTTTGTTTTGGATCTGACTTTTTTTGTTTTTTGGGTGATCACTGTTTAGACAGTGACTGACCTAAACCAAATTGAAGTCATAAAAAATAGAAGTTAACAGAAAAAAAGCTTAGAGCGAGAGCAATTTTATAAACATGTGAACAGTATTGCACGTAGTTTTATATTACTCACCGCATTACAATTTTTTTTTTCTTTAAATTATAAATTTAGAATTGATTTCTGTTTCTGATTATTATTTTGACAAAACATACAATAGTAAAATCATTTATTTTGTTAACTAATTTTAAATCTTGATTTTATTCTGACCTAAACCAAATTGAAGTCATAAAAAATAGAAGTTAACAGAAAAAAAGCTTAGAGCGAGAGCAATTTTATAAACATGTGAACAGTATTGCACGTAGTTTTATATTACTCACCGCATTACAATTTTTTTTTCTTTAAATTATAAATTTAGAATTGATTTCTGTTTCTGATTATTATTTTGACAAAACATACAATAGTAAAATCATTTATTTTGTTAACTAATTTTAAATCTTGATTTTATAGTTTATTTAAATTTTATTTTGTATTGATAAATTTTATTCAAGGTAATAGCAACATTTATTTGTTTTTATGTACAAAGGCAACTCTACTGCTTAAAATATTCTTCACCTCCTTTTCCATTTCGGGCCTTTCGGCACAGTCACCACCAGGTGGCCGTCCTCATACTCGCCTCCGTCCTTATACTCGGCTGAGGCGTGCTTCGGCAGCACCATATCTGGCAGCCTAAACCGCCACAAATCGAGCCCGATTTCATTCCCTGTCACCCCTTTTATAACGATTTTTGAAACCCCAGGACAGATCTTGACTGTGTCAGCCATGACATCACCACGCATGTGATTCGCGGCAGTCGAGAATCTGAAGGAATCTGGGGTTTCGGAGATTGAAATGTTGGTGTCTGAGTGGAAGGGAAGCTCTAGAACCATCTGGAATATGTGGGGCAGTCGCCGGAGAATCTTTTGTCGATTGACGTTCGACTGTGCTAGAATAGATGAATATTTGACTTCGTATGGCAAGGCCACGTTGAGTTTATTGGGCTCAGGGTGGATCTTCATGTCTGAAATTGGGGGAAGGATTTTTGTTGCAGAAAGTTGAGTGAATTCATAGTGCACACTAATAGAGCTTATTATACATAATGCAATAAAATCAAATTAAAAACAAAAAATAATCTCAATCGCTATTCACCGCCTCCCTTTTACTAGTTACCGTCCCCCATTTACTCTTTTGCCCTTAACCTTTTTTTGGATTTCATCTCTCTAAACTTTCTATCTCTCTAAATTTTCGAACTTCAACGAACGATTCGAGCATCAAAAGAAATTCAAAAAAATGTCGAAAAAATTCTACGGCATCGGCAAAGGATTCTTCTCCAACAAGGTAAATTTATTTTTTTTTATTGGCCGGAACTAATTTTAAAATTTATTTTTTTGAACCTGCCCGGCCGTCCGACCGGCGGTTCGGGACGGCCGGGGTCCGTCCGGTCGTCGGTTCCGGACGGACAAAAAACGGTCCGGTCGGCCGGACCGGA